TTTGGTCATGCTTTCCTTAAAAGGTAATTGTTTAACCACTATGGGAAACTGGAGGTTTCTCAAACTGCTAAAAATGGAACTTCCATATGACCCAGCAATCCCACTCCTAGATATCTACCCAAAAGACACACAAACACTGATTCAAAAAGACACATGTTTATTGCTGCTTTATTTGCAATAGGAAAGACATGGAATCAACCCAAATGCCCAAAAGTACATGACTGGAATTAAAATGATGTGCATATATGTGATGGAATATTACTCAGCAATCAAAAAAGAAATACATGCCTTTTGCAGCAACATGGATGGAGCTGGAAGGGGTCATGCTTTGTGAAATAAGCCAGAAAGAAAAGGGAACATACTGGATGGTTTCACTCATAGCAGGAGTATAAAGGACCAGGGGAGAAAATAGTAATAATGAACAACTATATGCCAGAGACACTTTACGGGGGGGTGGAGTGTGGGATGGGATTAAAAAATGGGGTGGAGGGAGTGCACTGGACTATGGTGGTGGGATTAAAAAATGGGGTGGAGGGAGTGCACTGGACTATGGTGGTGGCACACGGGTGAATCAGTGGTGGCATGCCCACGGAAATTACAACTGAGATGGGAAAAGGCACAAAATGATGTAAAAATAAACACATTATTAAAAAATGTGTTTTTTTTAAAAAGTAGTTCTTTCACAGTTTAAGACTCCACCCTTAATGTTCCGCACTGAAAACATGACTTAAATTTTTGAGTAGAAAACTAAATTTTTGAGTAGAAAACTATTAATATTTCATGCCATTTAAGATAAATGTTTTATATCATTAAAAATAAGAATGAAGGGGATATGAATAAATAGTAATATTTTATATCAAGAAAGGAACATTTGATTTTATTTAGAAACAGCCATGTATTTTAAATTGTTTTAATTTTTTCTCAAAGTACTAAAATTTACATAAACTTTGTAGGGGATATGAAGCTTTTTGTAGAAGCAAAGTGATCTTGATTATGAAGAGACTGTTTAAAAAAGCTGGAAGATATTAGAGGCACTAATGTTATTCTGGCAACATGTGTATTGTAGGCATATTTACTTCATTGGTTTAGAGTGCTAATAATTTAAACTTTTAGAACAATTTAGTTATTCTTGTTTCTCTTGAGAGGATGATACTACAGTGTTATCAACCAGGTGATTTTTGGATATGACAATTTTCTGTAGAGAATTGTGTGATGTTTATTCTTGCCCCTTGGATTTTAATAGAAAGGAAAATAGTTTATAGTAATGGGAAGTTTTTAGCCTCTTCTTTTAATGGTAGATTTTTTTTCACTCATTTGAAATATAGGATAAAACATAATTCTTAAAATGCTACTAAACAGAAGAAATTTGCAAAAAAGTTCTCAGTGAAATGATTCAGTTGTCTCTCCAGTCTTGTGTTCTAATGCCCCATATTGTTATAAAACTTTATACTTTGAGGAGCTTGCTGTCTTATAATTTTTATTATCTTACAATTAGAAGTCTTTTCTTTGTCCAGTAATTAGTGCATAAAGAGTATCTCACTATGAAGTTTGCTGACTTTTCTTTCTGTAGCCATGATTGTTTCTCAGAGCCACTTTATTTGAAAAACATTAACTTTTGAAGATGTATTTTTACTTTTTTTTATTATATTTGTGTGTTGGCTTTAGGAATATCCTAGGCAATTTGCCCAACAAAATAAATAGCCACTAACTCTTTAGTTCCTCAGTCACACAAGCTACATGGGCTTCCATTCAGAAAACTCCAAAGGCTCAGGAGCCACATGGGTCTAGCAGCTCCAATATTACTATAGATCTCAAACATTTCCATCATCACAGTTATAGTGAATGTTCTATTCTAAAATGGGAGTTGGCAAACAGCAATATGCAAAACTAATTTTATATTATAAGGTTTTATCAGATACAACCATCACCATTGTTTACATATATGTATGACTTCTTTCAGGTTATAATGGCATATTTGAGTTGTTGGGTCAGAGATCATGTGGACCATCGTTCTTAGACATTTTCTCTCTGTCCTTTTATAGAAAAAGATTATGGACCCTATTTCAGAGCATTCATTTTCATGAAGTTGAGGCTATTTCAACATCATAGTTATTATAACATAGCTTACATTACTACCATAACATGTTATATAAGTCAGGTTATCATAGTTCAAAGATAACCCAGACCCGAAGAGTCTGCTTCAAGAATTGAATATTTAGGCCAAACCTATGGATTATGAGGTACAACCGGTTTTCACTTTGTAGGAACATCTGGAAGGTATGCTTTTCTCTGGTAAATCAGGTTATTTTCAAAGTGGAATGAATTAAAGAATACTGGAAAGAAAGAACAGTCAACACACAAGGTATCAACCTACGTAAAGTGAGCTGTGCAACTGTCAGAATTGGCACACAGTTGCCATGAGGCCCATCCATGATGCTCAGTGCCACATTTGGGTCCATAGCTGTTTGGGACTTTAGGGTGGACTCTGCAAACAAAACAGGGTCAATTAGAAGATTAATAAAGTAGAGTGAAATTCATCTAGTACATTATACATGAAAGTCTTTCAATTAAACTTTTTTAAAAAAATCTTGTAAACAATTCAAGAAATGTGCTCTCTTAAATGGCATGTAAAATACTTAAATACATTTTGTTTTACCATTTTCAATGCTGTTTTAACCCATGCTGCTATTCCATTTGTGTGTATGTGTTTGGTTTATAGTTTTCTGAGCTTTTGACATTGGCCTAATAGAATTTTCTTTCTTATTTTCTCAGTGTTAAATTAGCACGGTTTTTTTTTTTTTTAAAGATTTATTTATTTATTCATACAGAACTGGGGTACAGGCCAGAGATGCGGAGGGTGAGAGGATTCACCAGAGACAGAGTGGGGAGCAGAACAGGCAGATCGACGAAGTACACTGCTGAGGGGAGCAGCGGGCGGGTCAGGAGAGGTCTGCCACGCCATGTGGTCACCTCCGGGGCAGGCGGGAATCGAACTCATGAGGAAGCGGCTTTAGATTCTCAGTGCTGTGCTTTAACCCGCTGCGCCACCAGGGAGGGCCAAATTAGCACAGTTTTTAATTCAAAGTGCCCTTGCTTCTCTCAGCAAGGGCTTCAGTGAGTGCCTTATAAAGGCCGACCCTCACAGGAGCAGATTATAGTGAACGAGAAGCTAAATTTAGAGGGAAGCAGGGCCTCTGCTTTAAATAGTAACAGCTAAACTTTTGGTAAACAGAATGTCTTCATTTAGTCTTGCTGTACTAGTAGGTGAGTCTTTTTCTTTTAATTTTTGGTGTTGTGTTGAAAATATTTGCATACATTTTCATATTTCCATGTCATGTTATATTTTCACCTAGATTGTAGTGAAATTTTTAAAAATAAGCTCATATAACTGGACTGTGAAGAAATAGAATTTTGTGTTTAGAACTGAAGAAACAGTTTTGTGTAAACAAAACTGAAGATTTTTAAAATAGTATTCCATTGTAGGTTGTGTTTGGTAGTAATGCCCCATTAGCAGAAAGTTAATTAGGGATTTCTTTCCATTTCTATTCTGGATTCTAAGATAAAACTTAGAGAAGACTCATACTGTGAATCTTACTTAAATTTATTACAAAACAAAAGTATATTTGGCAGAGTATAACTCCTAGTTTCGCATATTCACCTAATAACAGTGTTTCAGGCCTCTTGGGCTCTGTTTTTGGTTTTGTATCTTTTGGTTTTATACCTCACTATGAGACATAAACTTTAACCAGTATATTTCTTTATTAACACAAGAAAAATCTCTTACATATATTTTGTGTGTTTTTCAAGGTAAGAGAAGTTTAAGAGAACATATTTACCCAAAAAAATGTATTTATGTATATATGTATGTTTGTATATACATATGTGTGTATGTGTTTGTACATAAGCTATGCCACAAAGAAGTGTTTGTTGATCTAGAACAAATCTGTTGAAAATACCAGCAAGGGAAATATTTGAATGAAAGAGTTGTATAAATATATATAATGGATTGAAAGTTTAATTTCCAGCATCTATCAAATAAAATGAAGTTTCATTGATAAAATTTATTGCACGATGACTAGTTCAGTCTGTAGCTGCTGCCCCATAAACACACAGCAGTCAATCTCTTTTTCTACCTTGACTTTGTATCTATATTGGTGCTTAACCTATTACATTATACTGTGAATATTGGGATTTTTTGGTTTTTTTTTAAAAGATTTATTTATTTGTGCATACAGAACTGGGGTACAGGCAAGAGGCTCAGGGGCGGTTGCGAGAGGCTTCACCAGAGACAGAGTGGAGAGCAGAACAGGCAGATGGTTATATTGTAACTTACTTTATCAGACATTTATGGGTATTTAACTTTATGTTTTTTATGAATTTAGCAATGTGGCAATTTTTTTTAAAGATTTATTTATTTAGGCATACAAAAACCAGGGAACAGGCCAGAGGTATGGGGGAAGGATGATGAGAGGATTCACCAGACACAGAATGGAGAGCAGAACAGGCAGATTGATTGACATACACTGCTGAGGGGAGCAGTGGGTGAGACAGTAGAGGTCTGCCATGTCATGTTGGTCACCTCTCTGGCTTGGGATTAAACTGGTGCTATATAGCTGCATATAGCTTTATAGAGTTGTGCTTGACTTTTACACATACATTTGGGTACACATGTATGTGTACAACTATAGAATAAATTCCTAGTAAAGAAATTGCTGGGCCACAGGTTATATAAATGTCAGTGTCTGTATATCTTCACTAACTGTATCCCGAGTACTGTGTGGAGTTTATTCCCATGCCAAAGTTTATATGTCATGGTTTTCCTGATATCTTTTGTCAATACTGTGTATTAGCACACTTTAAAAGTTTTGCTAGTTCAACAATTAAAATTACAGCCCCTTTTAAAAAGTATATTCATTATAGTTAAGGTGAAATATGTGCTATTAGCCATATCTGTTTATTTGAACTACTTGCTTGAATAATTTTGACTTTCTTTGTTTCAGAAATTTTATGAATAAGCATCAGAAGCCAGTGCTAACAGGCCAGCGGTTCAAAACTCGGAAAAGGGGTAAGAGTTGTGTGTTTGGGTTTGTTTTTAAAGTTACAGTCAAAATTTTTCAAGTTGAAGAAGAATTAGAATGATCCTTGATTTCACCTAATCTATGTCTACTTTTATGAGATCTGGGTGTAAAATTTATAGTTCTGCCCTCAGACCCTGTAAGTTCTAGTTTAATGTGTTTGATTTCCAACAGGCCTTTAAACTTGTCTGAGGTATATGTCCTTATTAACAAAATAAGGATAGTGGTAGCTGTTCAGGTTGCCTTACTCTCACGTGAGGCTATGGAGATAAATGATAAACTTGCTTGTTTTTAAATCAACATTTGTACTTAGATTTTGCTTCCTTGTTGTTTTTGAGAAAGATAGCAACAATGGTAAAAACTAAAAGAAAAATAGCCAGAGAGATAGTGAAGAATTTTAAGATTTTCAGCAATGAAATGATGTTTATTTTCCTAAATATCAAAGTTTATGGTACTTTCAAGTGTTTTTTTACGTGGGTAGAACAATAGCTGCTGGCCCAGTTGGATGAAGATTGGTAAAATTTGCATTTGTGTGAGTGACTTCTTTTTATGTAATATGTAAAGAATACTCAAAATACTTTTATATTTGATCAGTTTTGTATAATTGTATTGAGATCCTCCTGGACTCAGTTTTGAGCCAAAACTTTTCAAAAAGGTTTTGAAAACAGGAAATCTGATGTGAAATTATTAAATTGACTAATTCTGAGGAAAATCACAAAACAATATTTAAGGAAGTAGCACTTATGAAGATAAATGACAAATGATAGCCGGATATCTTTTTGAAGGTCTCCATGTTTTGAAGCATGATGCCATGTAATGATCAATGCTGAAGTATTATACTCACATTATACATCTTTGGCATTTCCATTGTAGAGGCAGCTCTTGTAGCTGATTTTCTTTTGCTATAGGAGCTAAAGCGAGTCTAGTCATGTCAAAAGAAAGTAAGTCTCAGGGCAATTGATCTTTTTGGATTCAAAGAGTGCAAAAGGTACTAAAGAGCAATAAGGCTAATTTAACTGTAACTGCAACCTGCTGAGAATCTTCCAGTACCCACTAAAAATTTAAACTTAAAAATTTTTGAATAATCAGAAAATGGTTGTTTTGTATGGTATTTCTATTTTGGGCCCTCCTTTTTTCTTTGTTTTTCATTTCCAACTCCTCCCCCAAAATTAAGTACTAGTACAGTCTGAGCCACCTCCCTCTTTTTAGGCTTCTTGCAAATTGTGTTCTTACATTTTCCTGGTGAAACCTGGCAGCTAGGCACGACAACTAGCATTCATTTCATTGTCTCATTGTTTAAAGCAATCTTTCAGGGAAAATGATGTAGATGGTTTCAAAAGGATTTAATCGGTTACAAACAGTATAGTCCAGCAGCCTAATTATAATTAAAGTATTGTTCGACCTCGCAATGTGATAATATTTAATATGGGCAAGTGTGAGGTGCAGAAAGGTTTGCCATGCATGCCCACTGAGGGAACATGTTAATCTCAGACCTGGATCTCCAGCTCAAGCAGCTTTGTTAGTGTGACGTTGATGCACTTTATCTGAGTTCAGAAAGCCAAAAGCAGGGCCAAGAATGAGTTGCACAACAACAGACATGATTCAACGAGTAAACTGGCCCTTACATTTGGTCTTTAGTTTTGAACTGGAAAATTTTTTCTAAGTTTGAACTGGTTTGCCCCTGATTCATCTGGTAGTCAAAATTGTGCCTGCATCTTATTACTGCCAGGGTACTCAGAGAGTTTCTGAGAAACATATTATATATTATTTTTCAGCTGATCTGGATTTATGTAACTCAGGTCTTTGTGGGATTTAGGCAGGTCTTCAGTTGTTTTGTGCCAAACTGCTGATGTGGGGAGTGGAGGAAGGGGGAGGGGGAAATGGAGTCATCTTATTTTCTACTTTTCATAAAAAGTACTGTAAATTGCCTCCTGTTACCTTATTGTGCTTTGTCTTTTCTTTGCTGTTATGGTGGGGCTGTCTTCATAGAAATGATTTATAGTTTAGTACAACTGAAAAAAAAAAAACAAACACCAAGGTAATTTGGAAAGACTGTCTTCTGACGAGCTGTCTTCAGTTTAAAACTATTTCCTAGCAAAATTAATGCTCTCCCTTGCCAAGTTAGTACAAAAATATATTTCTTATTTCTTAACCTAAATTAAACATTATGGTAAGGGACAACCTAGCAAACTCCACTGAGACACACTTTTCCTTCATGAAATATGCACAGCATGTTCATGATATGTTTTCCAAAAAATTATGTTCTCCAGTTTGGCTTATAAGAATCCAAAGGATAAAATTTTGTCCCTGTGGCCATTGTTAAGTTTAGCTACATGAAAAATTTAATAATTGAACTTGCCTCCCGGAAGTGAAAATACAGGAAAAATAGTCAAACCACAAGCATCTGGAGTGATTACATACTCAATATTTCTTCCTGAGATTTTATTCTGTACTGGCAGGTTTCAAACACATTTAGATTAACATTATGTGGTATTAGCAAATAATCATTCAGACCTTTAACTGTTGAAATATGTGTAAATATTAATGTGTGTATAGTTAGAAAACTTCTTAATGTACTTCATTACCCTTCAGAAAGTCACATAGATTATTTTTTCACCTAATAAGTTGGAAAATGCTATATTATCCTATTATCATAGTTCTCAGAGAAAGCAATGATTTTTAGATAGTTTACAAGCATATTTGAATATCAGAAATAAGCCTGTTTTTTAAAATGTAAGGCTACTATGACTAACTCTTCAGTGTCACACAGTGATTCACACACACAGTATAAATCTGAGACTCTAGTCATCTACTTCCACCTTTAGGGGAGTTTACCCTGCCTGATGGAAACTCAAGGAAGTAGGGGCATATTTTTTGTTAAGATTTTCTTAAGATTTCTGCTAGACTGTCCTTAAACAAAGTACAAATTACATGTGCTATTGCTTCAAATGAAAAAAGAGTCTTTCAATAAAAAAATTGTCTGTGTCCCCAGATTTCCATCAGTGTCCTTGCAGTTTTCTTGTATAAGGATTTTGTATTCCTCTGGATAGACACTTGATCTTAGCAGGTGGGAGTGTTTTATCTCATCCTACAAAAGAGTCACTAATCCTTTCATACCATCATGACTTTTTCGGATTCCTAAGCTCTGTGGCCATTTTGACCTGATGCATGCTTGCTCACTGTTGAAATAACCTTGTTAATGATAAGCTATCTTCCTCCTTTAACTTTTCCTCTTGGTAAATCTGCTTAAAATATATAACCAAAGGAAGAAAGCCTTTTTTTAGATTTATTTATTTATTCATACAGAACTGGGGTACAGGCCATAGATGCGGAGGGTGAGAGGATTCACCAGAGACAGAGTGGGGAGCAGAACAGGCAGATCTACGAAGTACACTGCTGAGGGGAGCAGCGGGTGGGTCAGGAGAGGTCTGCCACACCATGTGGATCTCCTCCGGGGCAGGCAGGCGGGGATCGAACTCATGTGGAAGTGGCTTAAGCTTCTCAGTGCTGTGCTTTAACCCGCTGCGCCACCAGGGAGGGCCCGGAAGAAAGCCTTTTATAAAACAAATTTTTAAGTTGTTCTTTAGATTCATAACAGAGTACTCTTCCTGAATTCTTAACATGGTCTGAGTTTTACCTTAATTATCAACTAACATTTTCTGGTGCCTTAAATGTATATTTTTCAAAGCATGCAAGGCTGTTTGCCACCTGAGTCAGAATCCAGACCCCTGGTGGGGGTGGCCTCTATTCATTTTTGAAACTGGTCATAAGATGCAGTAAACAATTTGTGGGATTTTTCCTTTCTTATGTTTTCATATTAATAGAAGAGAAAATAAATCTAAGGATACAAGCAGATTATACTTTGGCTAGACCCTGATTATGGGATAGAGTTTCCTTTACTTGCCTGTCATTTCCTGCTGTTTAGTCAGTTATAATCACTTCTTTCTACAAATCCTATCACCTTATTCCTCTGGAGTTCCCATTCACCTTCCCCTCCCTTTACAATATTCATATTTTTCCACTGGAGTAAATATTTCCATGTTCTTGGCTTCATAATATTTTGCTTATGGCATCAAAAGGACTTCTAGCTCTAGTTAATGAATATTGTTCAAGTTAATTTGCATCTGTCTTTATGTTATCTTATGCTGGTTACTCTGGTACTGCAAATGCCATTCTTGTCCTCTGGTGCTGGTTCTAATGTGGTAGTCCATTCCTTCTTTTGGACTACCACAAATTCTCAGTGTGTGCAAGGCAGTGTGTGTCTGGTCTTTTATATATATGTATAATATGCATACGATTTCTTTATTTATGCACACAGAACTGGGGTACAGGCCAGAGGTACAGGGGCAGCGAGAGGATTCACTAGAAACAGAGTGGGGAACAGAATTGTCTGTTCTTTGAATGTAGGTTTTAATTATCAAAGTGTGTTTGCATGTGATTTAAATAGACAGTTCTGCAAAGCATGTTATAACAGCATGTCTGCTCTTCAGAGGAACTCAATTCTTTAACTGCTTCTTTTAATGTTTACATTCATGTAGTCAAAGAACATCCTTACATAGCTATTTCTTGATTTTTTTTCCCCTATGGGTGATATATGCACTTCCTACTGTGGAAGATGAGGATCTGACCCTTATGACTGTTTCTGCCTACCTGCATATCCTTGTTCTCTATCCTTGCATTATACCCTAATTTGAGCTAGACCGATGTTTAGCATTTACATTATTAAAGCTTTATATGTGCTATTCATACTATTCAAACTATTACTTCATTACTTTTCTCATTCTAACATGTTATCTTTAGATTTAATAAGTTTCATAATTATCCTTCTTTGCCTTAATTTCTTCCTTCCCCATTGTGATGTAAATCTCTTAATAAAAACTTTAGGGATTCTAGTAATAATATTCTATTCAAGGAATTCTTATATATTCATATGATATTATATTATCATATTGAAAAACTCTACCATTGGGTTGTTTTCTAGGCCAGCTGTACAGCTGTCAACTTGAAATGCTTGAAAAGTCCCATTATCCTAAAGAACACCCTTTCCTGTCTCTCTGTGTCTTCCCTTTCTATGGGTTCTCATGATTGAAACTTTTCTAGTTCATCTCTTGTTTTGGTGGTGTATCTGCTTCAAAAACTTCAAAAAAGAAGTGTGTATGAAAGTATAAACTTGGAGATTGTAAATTAATTATTCTGTACCTTTGATAAATAGTTTGAATATTCAGTTCTGGACTAGAAATAATTTTCCCTCTAGAATTTTGAGGAAATGACTCCTGCTATCTAATATACCTTTTGAGCTATTCAATATCCTTTTATTTATTGATACTTCATATGTGATTGGGTTTTTTGCTTTTACTTAATTGCTTTATTCCCAGTGTTTTGAAATTCCACAGTATTCCCCAAAAGTAAAATTTCCTTGGATCCAATTCTGTAAATCTTTCTTGAAATTTTTAGATGGTTTTCTTTCCTTTAAAAAAAAAAATTCTGTCTCTTTATTTTACACTTACGAAGGATCATGGAATAATTTGTATTGTAAAAGAGATAGTACCTTCTTGCTTTCTCCTTTGCATTCTTATATAATCTTCTTTATTCTTTTTTTAATTTTAATATAATAGTTTTATTATTACATTATTTTGTGCCTTTTTCCATCTCAGTTGTAATCCACATGGGCTTCCCATCACAATCTTCTTTATTCTTATGTCATTTTTCCTGAATTATTTTCTTTCTCTATATAAGGTGAGACTTTTTTTTTTTAGTTTTTAAATATAGTACTTTTTTTTCTTCCATCATTATTAGTTTTGGAACAATAAATGATTTCTCCCCTCAAGTGTGGTCCCACCACCAAGTCACCTATAGTCAATCATCATATTCTTTTGTGCTTTTCCACCACTGCTGTTTCTGCCCCTCCCCATGCTTCCACCCTTCGCCTCCCAGTCTGGATGCCTTTCAAGGTGATGAAACACAATTTTAAGCATTGATATTTATATACCTTGTTCTTTTTTTCCTCAAATTATTAGAGATTATTATTATTATTAAACAAAGAGATTTGCTTGGCCTGTCTTTGGATAACACAGATGTATGATTATCATTTTTATTATGTCTTAGGTAAAGTTAAAATAGAACTCATTGGCTTGAAAAACATGTTAAAATGTGAGTTGGTTAAAAATGTAAATTTTACTCCACCTTTTAAATAATAGTACAATCAAAGAAGAGTAAGCAAAGAAAATGTATGATTGTATGATTGCGTTGAGGAATATGATAAATATGATAAAAGCATAATTTCATAATCTATAAATTTTAGATGAAAAAGAGAAATTCGAACCCACAGTCTTCCGGGATACACTCGTCCAGGGACTTAATGAAGCTGGCGATGACCTTGAAGCTGTAGCCAAGTTTCTAGACTCCACGGGCTCAAGATTAGATTATCGTCGCTATGCAGACACACTCTTCGATATCCTGGTGGCTGGCAGTATGCTTGGTAAATCATTTTGTAGCATCTTCTTGTATGCAGATTAACTGTGGAAATAGACTTCTGAGGGAACTGACTTACATGAAAATAAGTTTATTTATAAAACTATATGCTGAAATCCAAAACCTGTAAGGAGATTAGATAAGGAAGTGAAAGTATAACTCAACTGAATTTTTGTTTGATGATATCTACTGAGAATGTTGGCTTTATGTAGGCTTTTCCACTAAAACATCTGAAATCACAAGTTAAATCAAGCTAGTCATATACTAAAATAAACAAACAGAAGTCATACAGTTAACTAAAGAGTATTTGCCTGTTTAACTTCGATTATTATTATATTTTTATTGCCTAGTACAGTCACTAGTACAAGTCTATACTCAACAGTTTTTGTTGAATATGTGAAAGATCTGAATCTAACATTGCCTGCTCTAACATTCTACTCTAATTATAATGCAATAGAATCACAAAACAAAAATACCCATAGATCTCCTCTGCTCTTCTAATCAAACTGAGTAATGGCCACCATTTAAACTCTCAGAAAGAGCCTTTGATTGGAAAGTCATAGAAGACTTTCTTTTGTTTTAGCAAATGTATGCCATAATATCTTCAGGTTATGGGGGGAAAGTTGAGAGAGATTAAATCCTCAGTTTCCTAGCCTGTGTAGCCTCTGGGTAATAAAATGGAAATGGTAAGGAGTCACAGCATATCTTGCTCAACTTTGCATGGATAATTGGGTTAGTGGTCAACAAAGCAGGTTTAATATCTACTCAAGGGGAAACAGAGAAGATCAACTATAAAAACCAGCCTGGTCAGTCCCACTCTTGATAAACTGGAGTCCAGCAAAGTATTATGAAATGTGAAAAATGAACAATCCCTGATGTGGCAAACATCAAGAACTATGCCAGAAATAATCACATAAACTTTACCAAATAAATTTTTTCTTTAGCTTCCATTGTTAAATACATACTTTGAAAAGAACTGGACCTACAATGATAGCATCTAGTGTGGGAAAGATATGGAACAATCTTATATATTAAAGTGGGGTATAAAATGGAGGTATCAATTTATTCTCATTGGAAACATTAAAAAATACATAACATCTACACCTTCCCATCTTTTTATGAACTTTTGTGTGCTCTTAAGTTTTGTTTCTCCTCTTAATGTTCGGCTGGGTATGTTCTACATTTCAGAAATTACCTTTCTCTTTTCAGCCCCTGGAGGAACACGCATAGATGATGGTGACAAGACCAAGATGACCAACCACTGTGTGTTTTCAGCAAATGAAGATCATGAAACCATCCGTAACTATGCTCAGGTAAAGCCTGTCAGAGATTGTCGCCTTAGAAGAAAACATTAGGTTCAGAAAATCTATAGGGGCCTCCCTGGTGACTTAGGGCTTAAGTAAGGGTCAGTGCTGCCTTTGTGAAGGCCCACCCCCATGGCCTGAGTTCAATCAAGGGCTGAGAAACTACCCACATGGTGCAGCAGACCACTCATGTCTCGGCCACTGCTCCCCTCAGCAGTGTATTTCAGTAGATCTGCCCGTTTTGCTCTCCATTCCCCCCCACCCCACTCTATCTCAGGCAAATCCACATCCCCAACCCCCACCTCTGGCCTCCACTCTAGTTCTACACAAAAATAAACAAATAAAATCTTTTTTAAAAAAGACACTATAAGCTAATTAACTCTTAAACATATGAAAAGGCATACTGTTGCATTTATTATAAGACAGCAACAGTAGTATTTTTTTTTTTAACTACTTCTCAACTGTAAGAGACTATACTGGCTGCTCACACAATTTCCGGGGGCATTATCAAGAAAAACTCCTATCCTTAGTGAAGTAAGTTGGTCAATATCTTTCAAAATTAATACTACATACTCCCTTTGATCTAGTAATTTCATTTATAGTGCTTCTGGTCCTCATTACATTGTTTATAGTACTATCATACACTGATAACAATGTAAATCAAAGGAGTGCTTTGATTTAAATAAATGTATTTATTTATATTATAAATATAAATTTATATTATAAATATATTATAAATTATATTATAAATTAAATAAATCAATTTAAATAAAGTTTGGTGAAGTACATATGCTAGTTTCAAAAACTGGTCTTTTAACTATCCCACTCACTTATTGAGAAACTAAATAGGGCTTATTCACTAAGAATCAGGACTTTTGAGTTATATTTATGGTCTAATACTTAGTGGCAATTTCCAGATCTGCCAAATAATACTATTAATCCCTTCCTTACCTTCTGCAAAGAATTCTTGTTAAGAATAAATTAATGCAAGTACAGGTGTATTATTTGTGAGTGGTGTTTAACTAGAAAAAATTAAGACTTGGAAGAGGCCCTCCCTGTTGGCACAGCGGGTTAAAGCACAGCACAAAGAAGCTTAAGCCACTTCTTTCTGCATGAGTTCGATCCCCGCCTGCCCCTGAGGAGGAGATCCACATGGGTAGGCAGACCTCTCCTGGCCCGCCCACTGCTTCCCTTAGCAGTGTACTTCGTCGTCGATCTGCCTGTTCTGTGCCCCACTCTGTCTCTGGTGAATCCTCTCACCCTTTGCATCTCTGGCCTGTACCCCAGTTCTGTACGAATAAGTAAATAAATCTTTAAAAAAAAAAAAAGACTTGGAAGAAAAATCACTATTCTACTGTTCTAGTATTTCCATAAACCTAAAAAGATAAATAAGGAGTTTGCCTCTTCATTATCTCTAAATAGAATGTTTCTTTTTAAAGATTTTTTCATTTGGAAATGTACATTTAAGGACAGATCCCTTTAATACTTTGTTTTCTGAGTTTAAAAAATGTTTATTTACAGACAGAGAAAGGCTTGATCAATGAGGTAGGTGAGGAAAGAAAAATTAACTAGAAAGGAATGTTTGAGTAAAGAAGATAACTTTGTAAACTGTCAGTTTAGAGAGTACTTTGATAGGGTGATGACTTTTGCTTGACATGTATATGCATTCACTTGTGAAGATCTGAATAATCCTTCTTGGATTAGAATCCTCTTCCTGGCCCTCCCTGGTGGTGCAACCAGTTAAAGCACAGCACTGTGAAGCTGGCTGCAGCCACTTTGGTGAAAGTTTGATCCCCACCCTGGAGGTGACTTACATGGTGCAGCAGACTTCTCCTGTCTCACCCGCTGTTCCCCTCAGCTGTGTATTTCATCTATATGCCTGTTCTGCTCTCCACTTTGACTACAGTGAATCCTCTCACTGCACCTCCAGCTCTGTCCTATACCCCAGTTCTGTATACATAAATCTTTAAAAAATTAAAAAATTTGTCTTTCCTGTAAAGTCAAGAAATATGTGAGTGTTAGTTAAAAATCAAATTTATAGGCTTTCAATACAAGTTACTATCTTTTTTTACTCTATATTCATTCCCTGCCTGGCTCATTATACTTTTTCCATACAGGGCAACACTATCATCTTTACTCTTGGTCTCCATCTTGATTATTTTAAGGAATAAACAAGCACTGAGAATTTTAAATGCAAATCATATGAATGCAAAAGAAAGGGACTAGCTTCCAAAATCATCTTGACAGCTATGAAAATAATCGATATTTGAGAACATTGTATTAGCTTACTTGAGCTGCCACACCTAAATAGCACAGAGTGGGTGGCTTAAACAACAGAATTTAACTTGTCACAGTGTGAGAAGCTGGGAAGTTCAAGATCATAGTACTGTCCTCTTTGACTCCTGGTTAAGACTTCCTGTGTCTTACAAGGTCATCAGTCCTATCAGATATGGAGGTTCTGATGGAACCTAAATTGTCTTCTAAAGTCTCTACCTCCAAACACAGTGATAACAGATGTGAAGACTTCAGATATGCTTAGAAAAACAGAAATATCTGGTACATCTGAATAGCAAAAAGTATTCCACTGAAACAAGTCTAAAATTCTACTTACCCAATTGTAGCTCTCCATCATATTTATTGTCTGTGTGCTATCTTTGACCCCTTTCATTTCATTTATTTTTGATCTCTGCATTTCACAAACTAAAAATCACTTCATCAGCTAGTTTTTGTTTTCTTACCTTTTATATCCTGACTGAATTTGCTCTATTCTACATGTGCATTTTGATCCTACTTTTCCACTTTTCCCTTAGATCATAATAACTTTTAAAATGTTTATATCAGAGTATGAGCGTGTTTTACTGCACATTTTTATTACAATAGATTCATGTTGTAATTACGGTGAGTCTCTCCAACTCTTCTTGTCTTTTAAAGTTATGTAATATTTGATTTTTTTTTTAATGTTTAGGTCTTCAATAAACTCATCAGGAGATATAAATATTTGGAAAAGGCGTTTGAGGATGAAATGAAAAAGGTAATGATTGAATGGTAATTCCTTCTCTGTTTAAAATGATGAGATGGAGAAGGATAAAACTTGTCTTACACAATGATAGTTCCAAAATACCATGGCCATACCAAGTTTTTAATAAATGTTTGTTGAATGAGCAAGGGTGACAGAGAACCAATAGCTTCAAGAAGTAATGCAAAGAAATGTATTATTTGTCTAATTTTTTCATTCATATTTAATGTACAATACTATGTTTTTTGCAGTTTTATAGAATATCATTTGTGATCTTGTGGAGTTTCAGGCTAGATATTCCAAATATGTAAAAATGAGCATAATAAAAGAAGAATCCAAGATAATGTGATTTAATTAGTGAAAGCACATAGCACAATAGCTAATGCATATTACGATTTTTAATTTTAGCAGATACACTTCAGTAAAGGGGGATAAGAGGACATTTTTTAGAGTATATGGGTATAAATTTTAGTGATTTTTCTCATCAGTAAAATAGCTGTAATAAGAATGCATACTTTATGGTTCTTTTGGGAATAAATGAGGTAAAATAAAGTCTTCATTGTAGTATCTGGTCTCCAGCTAGTAACCAAGCAAACAGCAATTTATTAAGTCCACTTTTCAGTGACTGCAACATGTTCCTTTTTCTTATTTGTGATTCCAGTAGATTCATAGAGCAGTTTCTACATTAGATAGCTGACTAAATTATAAACTACAGGGGCAAATGAACAATGTAACATCTACTTTGCTATTTACTTTCTCACTTTTTTCCTTTTCAAAAAAGTGATTCCATGTGTAATGAATATTTTGGCAATAGGCAAAAGTTATTTATAATGCATATGCGTATAACTAGAGATTAGAGATTTTTGTTGTCAGACTTTTTTTACAGCATATATTTTATAATGTGAAAACTTCTTAATGGAAAAAATGTGATCCATTTCATTGGTAGGTATTTAGGAAAAAAGTACTTAATTAATTAGATAATAGATATGATAAAACAAATGATGTTAAAGCATTTGATAAGTTAAACATCTTACGACTTTGTCTAACACTATCATTCATACTTTTCTCAGCTCGTTTGAACCTTGAACTTTTCCTTACTGTATCAACTGTATCATTTGTATGGTAGATATGTTTTCAAGAGTGGCTTATTTTTCACATCATATCCATAGCTTTTAAAAAGATAGTTACCACAATACATGTAGTATTTGATTTTAATGTTGTATAGTTATTTAAATTTACGTGGGCAAAGTGAGTATTTTTTAAAAATAATCTTTATATTACTATATTCAAACAAGTAGTGTTAGCATTTTTATTTTTCAGGGTTTTTTTAGTATTTATTTGCAACACAATTTTTATAATAAAAGTAGATGGTCAGTTTTATAAGTTTTTTTATAAGTTTTTTTTTTTTTACTCTACCCCATTCCTGCTGTACCCTGATCTCATCCTCAATTATCTTCATCAGCTGATGGTCACACTGGGTGATTCAAAAATATTGTTTGAATCTCACTATTTTCAAAAGAGCTTCAAAAATATAGGAAACCCTTTTTATACTCCACAGTCTTGTTTTAAGGAGTCTTGAATGCTGTGAACATAGAAAAGTATATGCTGAAGGTCTGTACTTATCATTGACTCCAGTTTGGGTTGGTTTGTTTTGCTACAACATACCTAAAGAAAATGGGTAGATGTACTATGGAGGAAGGTATGGGGACATCCAAAGACATGAAAAAATGTGAAAGACAGTAAGTCATTTCAGGAAATTTTTTTTTTATGTAATACCCTTTGTCATGTAATACCCTTTGTCATGTACAAATCAAATGCAAATTATTTATGTAAAACTATTCAGCGCTGTCCAGGTGTTTCTTTTCCTTTCCATGAATGTTATCTACACATATGTATCATAAATTGGGAGGAAAGGAACTATTCCTGATGAAGTCACTGTCTTTTCCTGCCAGTTTATAACTGAGTCTGTGTATGTATTTCCAGAGACTATTATTATACTTTGTGTATGACCTACTAGTCATGGACCAATAGCCATGGTTATACAGCCTGTTATTTTCCTACTTTAGTCCTTTGCTTTATAGACATGGTTTCTTTTGTTTGACCCACAGCTTCTCCTCTTCCTTAAAGCCTTTTCTGAAACAGAGCAGACCAAGTTGGCAATGCTCTCAGGCATCCTGCTGGGCAACGGCACCCTTCCTGCCACCATCCTCACCAGTCTGTTCACCGACAGCTTAGTCAAAGAAGGTAGTTACTCTCATATTTCTTACACATCAACCAAATCGAAGCCATAGATAGTTGGGGAAATCCAGTACCTTTTGTTAGCATTCTCTACTACCCACACATCCCCAAGACAGAATATGCTTGTGTTTGTGTCTTCAAACAATAAGAAAATCATAGATACTTATTTCAGGAACTCAGTAGAAATTTATGCACACCTGTACAGAGACAAGTAAAGACTAATAATAAACTAGAATTTTTGGTGTAAGACCCAGTTTCTACATTAAATTGAATATGACCTGAATATGACCTTGTCTAACCCATTTTTTTTTTTTTCCAACTGAAATGCTACTGTCATCTACTGTATTTGGAGGACAGATACTTTCTGCAGAATTCTGTTATGGTCTATCAGAGATTGAACCTTTTTTGCCCTCAAATGAAAATGTTGGCCTGTGCACCCACTTGCATTTACTAGAACAACTACAAATGCCCCTTCACACTCCTCATTGCTTCTCAAAACTGTTGTTTATCTCTTTGATTAGAACTATTCCTCTGAATTGTTACCTCTCAAGACTGTGGTCAGATACTCATTCTGATCACATTTTGAAGCTTTTCACCTTCTTAGTTTTAAAGCAAAGACCAGACAACTGCTGGAGAATCTAACTTTAAAGCATTGCATTCATTAAGCATGCATATAATTCCTTGGCTATAAAGCAATCTAAGAAGTAAAAGTTTTCCATCTACAAATGTGAAGTCCCACCCTCTTTTAGGTTTTCTTTTAGCTGAGAAAAGAAGAGTAAATTGAATCAAGTGATAAAATTGAAAGGTTTTCTTTAGTTTTCAGCTTAAAATAGCTCAAATGTATAACAGTTCATACTCTGAATGGCCACAGAGTATGTGGATATCATAACATTTTAAAATACTTTCCTGAAAAGATTTCATCATATTTAGTGTATTTTATTTATAGTATTAGCTATTTTATACTTAGAACAATGAGGTAAAATAAGACAGTAAATATTAATTATGTTAAATTAATAGAAAGTAGTATCTTTACTAATTGTATTAAAAATCTAAGTGATGCTTGCTATTTTGAAATGTATCAAGAATTTATTTTATATAATGAATAGACTGATATAAGTGCTAAAGTAAATACAACAAAATATTAATAGTCACATATATTAAGTATATAACTTGTACTATTTCCTGTTCAGCTTATTCAGCCATATGTTCACCTGTAGCTTTATTTCTATTAATATTCTTTCTATTATCATTTGTCAGTAAATCAGTTGACATATGATATTTCAATTTTATGTCTCACGACTTACTTATACCTCAGGATCCCTGTTATAAACATGAATTATTGTGAATCACAGGGTTAAGTAGGTATAAAAACACTAAAAATCCTCGACTTTGAACCTGTTTTGACTGGGATAAAAATTAAATACAAAAATTTTCAGTTTATGGCTCAGAGTTAAGAAGTTCAATTTTGAAAAAACATTTCAACTTTTTCCCCCTTCCATTAAAAATGTTCTGTTTTAAATAATGAAAAGAACAGAACTGTACCTATAAATCTATCCATTTCTCATTTGCTGCAAATGAGTCATTTACTTGAGTCATTTACTTACTTCAGGAAACCTGCATCATCACATTTCATTCCTATGATAGGGTGAAATTTAATCTCTCTCTTTTTTTATTAAACAGGCATTGCAGCCTCATTTGCTGTCAAACTTTTTAAAGCATGGATGGCAGAAAAAGATGCCAACTCTGTTACCTCTTCTTTGAGAAAAGCCAATTTAGACAAAAGGCTGCTGGTAAGTGTTGTCAAAGCCTCCTCTCAATCTTCATCAGAAAACATACGTTTTGATAGTGGGTGAAATCAAGTTCTAGTCTTGCACCCTCTCCTTCCTTAACTTGTTCCCTCTCAACCCACGTCTTTGGTAAGTAAGCTTAGTGGTTCATGAAATGATTCCATTTAAAGAGAAAGTTGTTTAAAAATTACAGAAAGGTAGAAAAAGCTGACTTTATCTTTTAACCCTAAATGGAGCTTATAATAAAGAGTACCCTTTGAGGGCTGGTCTTGCTCTAGGCCTCACTTTCTAATTGCTGCTAATCAAATTGATAAGCCTCTATTGAGTGTGTTTTCTGATGTTTCTATTTAATGATCTCTTTAAAAGAGTTATTTTCTTCCTAGGAAAAAAATGTTCCTGTGGAGTTGACATTGGTGAGGCCTGTAATAAAATACATGACTAAAATGTCTGGGTCTGTGCTGAATTGGAGATTGGTTCGCTTTGTTTCTGCATAGTTGACAGATAACTAATTCCATTTTAATATCTGTCATTTAAATAGGTAGAATAATAAATTTTACCAGCATTAACACTTTGTAACCAGTAACTATAGAAACTTAAAGCTTTAATATAATAAATTTTACTACCTCGTTAAATATTTGTGATATTTTCCATAGGAATTGGATATTACTGCTCACAAAGCCATGTCAGTTTGCTAACAAAATAAGAATTTAAACAAGATTTCTTGTTTATATCAAGATTCTTTAGAAATACTTAGTTACGTAAGAAAGCAAGTTAATTGTAGTTAATTTGAAGCTCTAATTATCACAATTGTGTGATTATATATTTTATTTCTCTATTCTTATCTTTGCAAAGAAATTGAAGAAAAATACTTTGTTCTTATAATTCCTATCTGCCCCCTACAAGTTCTTTCCACTAGAATCAGGCAACAGCTGTGCAGATGCCAGGGATTTTTCCAGATGAAACTTTTTACAATGCTAGGTCATCATCTAAAATTACAAGATATACCACTGACATCTTCTCTTCAACTGCTGTCTTATGGTTTTCTCATCCAGTGTGTTCCAGTGTGCATTTATGTTGTTACATGGGGTGGTTCCAAACTGGCTCTTTTCCTCTAGAAAAACCTGAAAATTATTTTAATTGTATTACTTCTACTTCTAATCACTTAAAATTAATTTGTGTCTTTTAAAGTCTTCAGAATTTGAAAAAAAAAGAAAAGTAAGTCTAGATTCTAGTCATCTCTGTGACTGATAAAAATTTCCACCCAGTGTGTATTTATTGAATGCCTGCTCTGTGCCAGAAGCTGTGGAGTTGGTAAAGAACAGTATGGAAAAATTCCCTGCCTTCAAGATAAGGGATTAGGTTGCTGAGGAGGGAGGAAGTTCCTATGAAGGTAGAGCTTAGCAAGTCCCAGCTAAGCTCTACCTACCTTTTCATTCTGGGAAACTGGATGAAGGAGAAACTTCCATCTGAACCATTCCATTCTCATGGAGCACAGGGGATTGAAGTGACTCCTGATTAAAGACAATAGACAAAGCTTGGTTAACTTAATTAGGTCATAAATTTTTTTCCACATCAGTTTCCTTTTTGAAAATCACATTCAGCTGTTCTTACTATGTTTCCGTAGCAGCATATACTTAGGATATGAGAACCATGGGTTGTAGTTTTCACTGAAATCTCTGTGAAGACAAGGTAGTCAGACTGTCCTCTGGTGCTGTGCCTGACTCTGCAGATGAATGAGGGTCCAGAGGATCAGCCTCACTGCCAATAAGAAAATTTTCAACTCATGACACATGCAACAAAATTCTCCTGAGTCTGTGCTAGTACTTTCTAGGAAAAACAGCATATTCTCAGCAGTTAGCAATTACACATTTTGTAATACAGAGAAAGAAAGGAAATAGAGTGTGGGAGATGTCATTTCTTCATCACTGGAAAAGGAAACAATGACAGAGATACTGGCCAGAAACTTTTCTAGAACTGGGGATCTTGAAAGGAATTAAAGAGATCCTTACCTTACAGAAAACTAGGCAATAAACTAAACAAGCAATTCAAATAGTGATGTAAAATGTGAAAAGTTTGGGCCTGTTGGTGCAAGGGTTAAAGTCTCAGCGCGTCAAGCTATCACCAGCCATAGCAGCATGTTTGATCCCTGGGCAGGAAGCAGCAGACCTCTCCTGACTCTCTTATTGCTCCCTTCAGCAGTGTATTTCAGTGAATCCTCTTGTTCTGCTCCCCACTCTGTCTCTTTTGAATCCTCTCATCCCTCTGCACCTCTAGCCTACACCCCAATTCTTGTATGCATAAATAATTTAAAAAATAAATCTTAAAAATTATGAAAAGTTTTACAAAGAAAACAAGTAGGAAATAGCTGAGGGAGGTTAGAATATATGAAAAAATGTTCAGTGGCAGGGCATATCTACTCCCCGAAAACATGACATTTATATGAGGATATTTAAGAGATAAGGGAGTGAGCAATGTAGTCATCTAAGGAGAGTATTCGAGGGGGCAAGGGGTTTAAGACCTGAAATGTTGGGGACAGCTAGAGAGGAGATTATTTGGTGAGAGCAGGCTCATATGGTCTAGAGACTGGCTTTTATTCTGAGGAAGATGGGAAACTGGTGAAATTCTCTGCAGAACTGTGCACAGTGCTGGGATTGCTCTCACTGTTATAATGGGAATAGACGCAGGGACAAAAGACAGAAGAGAGAAAGTTCAACCTATGATGGGTAAGGAGGTTTGTGCCAAAGGAAGGGATTTCCTAAGAAATGTGAACTGCATTCCATGCCATAAATAGCATAAAATTTAGATGGACTTCAGCTCAGATAATTTTTTAATATATTATGATTCATTCACAAGGACTTTGGATATTGTTTCTAAATAAACCATGAGCAATGTCTTGAGGACATACTTCTTGGAACATGACTTCAGATCAAACTTTACATTTTCCCTAAATTCAATGCTGAATGTCAGCATGGAGTAATGGAATAAGTGCTGATTTTGAGATCACACAACTACTTTTAAATATTTTTACTTGCATAATTCAAGTCAAGCTGCTTAAACTTGTTAAGACTTAGTTTGTCATCTATAAATTTCTTCATTCCAAATAGCACTATTTATAATAGTCAACCTGTGGAAGATGAGTATATCAAAATGATGTGGTATATTTGCACTGAGGAATACCACTAAGAGATCAAACAAGATAAACTCATCTTATTTGCACAACATGGATAGAGCTGGAAGGGATGACACTAAGTGAAATAAGCCAGGAAGAGAAAAATAAATACAGATGGTATCACTCACATGTGGAGTAAAGAAGAAACAAAGGTCAGACCGATAAAAACTTTAAAACCATTAAAGCTGACCTTAGCTCTGTGCTTTCAGAGGAGTAGGGGTGAAGTAGGAGAAGGAGGGGTGAGGGGGGATGCAGCAGCAGAGAACAATGGACTTTGGTGAAGGACTTTGGGTGCTTCAGTAGAGGGGGAAATTCCTGTACTGTCAAACCATTAGCAAGGACTACAACAATGGTACTTCAATAACAATAAATTAAAAATAATTCTACTTTCCACAGTTCTGAAGAAAGTATCTACTGCATCTTGATTCATTAAAGAAATGGAAAATTAAATTAGTTCTCTCTCCACCACCCCCAATTTGAAAGACCTCTTGACGTAGTACAAATGTCAGTGAGAAACATTTATGCTAAAAAGTTTGTTTAACATGAATATGTGTTTGATAGCTACTCCCAATACTCTGTTCTGACATTTTGAAATTCATGACTCATCAAGGGGAATTTGGGGATGGTAATATTTATGATAGGTATGATGATATATAGGGGGTATTAGAATTTGAATCAAATTTGGTCATGTGTCTATACATGATAGCAAATCTGTTACAGATTTTTAAAAAGATTTATTTCTTTATGCACACAGAACTGGGGTACAGGCCAGAGGTGCAGGGGCGGTGAGAGGAGTTACCAGAGACACAGTGGGGAGCAGAACAGGCAGACTGATGAAGTACACTGCTGAGAGGAGGAGCAGGCAAGACAGGAAAGGTCTACCACACCATGTGGGTCACCTCCTTGGCCAGGGATCACACTTGTGCTGAAGCGGTTGCAGCCAGCTTCCAAGTGCTGCGCTTTAACCTGTTGAGCCACCAGGGTGCGCCCTGTTACAGATATTTCTACTGAGATTTTCATTAAAGCCAAAGAGCCATGGGCCTCATGTATGTAAATCTAAGCAGCATGAAAGTTTGGATCTATTTTTTTTAGATTCTACAGCAGTTTGTAAAGTGTGACAGCTTTGAACATTGCCATAGTTGGGTGTTAAAGTTTCACAGGTTTAAATCATGACTAAGTGTTAAAGAGATGGCCAAGCTATATAAAGTAAAATGGAAATGAGGTAAAAATATGAGAGTTGCATGGTGTCAGTATTGCCATTTAAAAAATATATACATATTCCAGCACAATTATGTAATTCATTGCAGGGTTGGTAGGGTGGGTTTAGATTAGATCTTGTCATAAACTTAGTTGAGAGCCACAGTCATTAACAGAAACAAAATTCTCTGTTGCTCCTAAGATAGCACTTACAATAGTAATAGCAGCATTTTCTCAGAATGTGAATGGAGGTCCTTGAATGGATAATTGCCAGTGTTTTATTTTTCCTATCATTATCTCAGATCATATCAGTACTATCAAAGCTAACTTCTTTATATTAACTAATAGTTAAGGAAACTGATTTTACAGTAACTTTAATATTTTCTTGTCATTTAAAAGCAATCCAAATATCATTCAGAATTATCTTATTTGCAATTTTTTTTCTTTTATTTGCACATACTACAATTTGATTAAGGTTTTTAATATGTAAATGTGGTTCAAAATGAGTAATTGCCTGCTTATCTACATTCCTTCGTGTTTTTTCATAAAAG